CCGTAAAATTAGTTTTAATGTGTATATGTATTCGTGTAAATATAAGAAATCATTATTAAGAACACTTAGTTCAATGCCAGTGCCTGTAACACGTGTGTTAAAAATACTTGAACATTTAATTATTTATTATCTATTTTAAAATTTTTTCGAAAAACATATTAAATCAACAAATAATCGATAAATATTAAACCTAACAAACCTAAGATTCCATTTAGGAATTCTGAATTATAGAGAATATATTTCTCTTTTCTTCCAGGAAGTAATTTGAGCAATAAAAACCAAAACATTTTCAAACAAACATGTTTGCGCCGTTAAGATAAGGTAATGCACTCGTCATTTGTTTTCTTTTTAATAACTACTAACGATTAGATAACCTCCAATTTTTAGAACCGCGTAATTTCATATTCGATATCAGCCGGCACGTGTAAGTATTTTTGTGCAATAGATGCGTATCTTGTTTTTTTTTTTGTAACTCATAAACATTTGCTGCTAAAATACTGGTTAGTTTTTTTGGCAACTTCAAAAAAGGAACAGGTTCTTACTACGACTGCACGTTTTTTCTGTATGTAGGTATGTTACGCGATTTCCGTGACAATTGAGAACTGATTTTAATGATGTTTTTTTAATAAATTAAGTTATACTTTAAGAGTTGTTTTATATTATATAATTCATAATTCATTGGCCCATTACAGCCTATCGAATTCAAAGTAGTAACAAACCTTAAAGTGCTCTTGGGAATTCGTTAGATCTTTTATTTGATACAACTAAGGGTTTAATCACCGTGCGTTGGCGGCTTAAACTAATCCATTACATTTAATAGGGATAAGGGTGGCAAACTAGATAATCTATCCTATCTATTTATATATCTATTCTCGTTTGCGAATCTAAATGCAGATGCGTTGTCAGATGTGAGGACTAAGATGGAATGCCTCTTTTCCAGTAAAAAGAGTCCGGTTCTCTACACTTACCATACGAAACACAGCAGCATTAGGCTGCTATTTTACGCTGATATTCTATGAGAGCGTGGTCCTTCCCCAGTCTAGGCGACGCATTTGTGCTACAACCATACTACTAATATAGCAGCAGCATGGCTCTACCACTTTTAAAATGTACTTATGTAACCTTATGTTGAACCGTCGTTATATCGATTCGTATGTGCGACTACGGACAATGCAATGGCAGTTTATTTTGCATTGACGCGATAAGGCTGCATCACCACTTACCACGAGGTGGGATTGTGGTCAAGGACTGGCTTATAATAAGTAAAAATAAATAGATCAACTCGAATTTTGCCTCCCATGCTATGGAAATAACTGAAATAAACTAATCTAGCTGTCTCGACACTACAAAGACCTCTAAACTATTTTACAGCATAAGCTGCAGAGCGTAGTTTTATATGGGGGCCCCACTGAAGCTTTGCATCGAGAGTGATGCCAACAAAAACAGTGCATTTAACAGGGCTCAATTAGTAGTAGTTAATAGTTGGTAGTTTACTTAGAAAAGAGAGCCGTGTCCAACAGTGGACTAGTGGACTAAGGGCTGATACTGTATATGTAAAGAAAATCTATGAACGCACCCGCTGTAAATACAACGTATTCCTCGACTTACTTAATAAAATGTTATTTGAAAAGCTTATATGTGTGCGTGCCGTTTACACTCACTCTAATAAAATTTTCCATACGACGTCTTAGAGGGAAAATTTAGATTACAATAAACGACAAATCTACAATGATATGAATTTTTTTTCGATAAATCCCGTAAGGCGTAATTGTTATCAAAACAAAATTGTGCATTGAACGATAGCCTTCGAATTCCGCGCGGATAAAAAAACGCAAATTTTATCACAGCGTGGTGTCAACGACCCCTTTATCAATTTAGCAGGGTTTCGCGGACATCGTGTACACTCGCGACATCACCAATGAGCGATAAATAACGATAATATAATAATACCTCTACACTACAACCTGTTGCGTAATAGGTTGAAGAGATGAGTCGTAAATTAATTTGAATACTTTCGCACTTAAGGCTATTCTGTATAGTCTAACTCAGCCTAAAAACTGTTTATTTATACAGGGTCTGTTTAATAATGCCTTGCTAAAAAGAGTAACGCCTGGTGGCGTGTTTTCCTAGAGGGCCTAATTCAGTGATGGGCATAATTGAGACCTAAGCTTATATTAAGCTAGAAATGACTCCAATCCTTTATAGTATCGAGTTGCTGTTGAACTGTATTATTTACCACAATAACTGTATTTATAAGATACACATATTTTGATTCTCGATTCTCTAGCTTATTAAAATGTGTTAAAAAGTGAAACCGTTACGAATATTAAAAATATTAGTTTTCATCAAACTACTTGATTTTTAAATAAAACTAATTTTACGGATTTTATCGCGTATATTAACTTATTTTTATATTCCCGACGTTTCGGGTGCTTTCCAGCACCCGTGGTCACGGGGGACTGAGTTGTTTGAAATTTAAAAATGTGTAGTGTTCGCGTAAATATAAGAAATCATTAAACTACTTGATTGTTTGAAGTCTAGCTAATTGACAGTACAAAGTGTCGATAATGTTCGATAGTAAATCACTAATAGACACAGACACTAATAAATCCATAAAGACTTGAAAATTAATCATGCCAATTATTTTGGATCTTTTTAAATTTTGCAGTTTTGTGTCTACATTTTGCAGCTTCGTGCCACATGAGCTTAAAGCTCATAAGTAAGGAATATAGCGACGCTGTAGGCAATAAGACGCACAACGTCTACATTGATCTACTTTGCAGTACTGAAAACCTGTTCGCGAATAAAGAATACCTGACTAACATTAGAAGCTTCTCTATCATTTTAATTGTCAATTATCCTAATATATTTTACGTGCGATCTTATGAAACTTGGATAATAAATGCGCGAACGATGAACAGAACATATATTTTCAAAAGAATGGTATCAATAAAATCCAGTACGAGCAAATTGTACATTCATGTAAGAGATTTGACGTTGCTAACGACTCACGAGGTCGCTTTAAGGCCGAGGCTACATACGCACCTGATATTTCGTAAGTAAGACTTCCTTGAGTTGGAACGAGTTAAATTTTTGAAGCTTCGAAAATCGATATATCTCATTAGTAATTATAAAGTAAAACTAATCATTTGGTTAATATAATTTTAGAGTTAATAGCAGGTAATAAGCAAAAAATTCCCTTCAATTTCACCAAAATTTTCCACAATTAAATGAGGAAAATTTAGACGCACTATCCTAGAGTAACTTTGACTATAATGCGTACCCATAACTTACAATGGGTATATTAAAGGTTTTTCGCTACGGTCCTATTTACGATATTAATTGCATGGCTTTTATCATCTAGTAGCTCATCATTATTTTATGTTATAAATATTTTCTCAACCATTGATGATTTTATGAAATAAGAAGGTCCTTAAGGTTAAAGGTCTGTAAATCCCGTTTTTCGGGAGAGACGTAATAAATACTTATTAAAAGGTGATAGTATTAAATATCATACTGAAAATTACTCATTGTTCTTCATCTTCATACTTCATCTGTTAAGTACTGGCAGAATTAAGTCGCGGAAATAGTCGTTGTCAGTATAGACAAAATAACAAGGTGTAACTGACCAAGGAACAGGTTTATAATTTTTTTAATCATTTTAATCATCACAGCTGCTGGCCTCCCCGTTTATTACTACAAATTATGGTCCTGAGCCACCAGCATCCATCGATTTCCTGCACATTTCATCAAGCCGTCACTCCAGCAAGTTGGGTTGCCCAATATTGCAAGTTCTTCTGGATAAGGCTGCCATATGGCTGTATAGTTCGCAATATCATTGTGGCGAGCCCATTTCCTCTATTAAAATTGGCAACAAATTAATTCAAAACATACTTTCGTACGTGGTCACTCGCATTGAACTCAGCTCAACTTCCACTACGAGTTTATCAATTACCATACATAAAAATTGGTTTTGACAGCTCCTAATTCTAATAGTACGTAGCTTAACATACCAGTATCTTTGACTCATTTTAGTAAAATTAAGAGATTTCATACAAAGAAAATACTCGCACAATTACTAATAGTGAAAGTACCTTTAAGTAGCAGACGCGATAAATAAGCCCATTAAAAAAATCTTACAAAAATAAAGGGAGATTATAAAGATAGTTGAAATACTTGTAAAATTATAAGTTAACAAATACGCAATGCGTTTTAAGAACCTCGCACAAATTATCAATAATGGTATCTAAATCAAATATCTGGCGTTTCATTATCAGCAGCGATAGCTGCATAGGCGCCATTTTCAATTGCAAATCAGCATGATAACGCAACATTCTTTTTATTTTTAACTGTACTATCTACATTTTATATAATTTATCAGTCTTACATCTCTAAACATTTTATTTATTTAGTTACTTATTTACAATTTATTGTTTACACCTTAACAAAAGAGGAATAAAGAGTGGAATTATTGCCTTTAAGCATATTCTTCCATTCAACCATGGGTGTAGTAAGGTAATGTGATAAGTGTATTTTGTGTAAAAAAAATTTGTTGGAAAATAATTTAACGCAATAGAAATATAACAGAATATTACTTAAAATCCAATATAAATTACATTATATTCTCTAGTTAAAATAATAAAATAAACAATTTTAAACATTCAAGCATTTTTACAAGATATATTTCAATGTTTTCATCAGACGTGAAAGTAATGCAAATATTTTATTGAAAACAAATACTACTGAAAATACTTTATTGTAAAGTTAAATCTACTTTACCTATGTAACGACAAGGAAAGCCCAAAAATACACTACTTTTGCCAATCCATCTAAAGAAAATAATCTTCTTGCGTGACACTTAAAATTGGATCTACCTAGTTAAAAACCGATGAACTATGGCTATTAGTAGTTTTCTTTGTAAACATGGTACACGCATTTTTATGAATCAAAAACCAGATTTAATTAAATGAAAAAATAATAATTCATAATGATTATCTTACCTTCGCAGTATAGCGTTACGTCGGCGAGACTCTCCGAGTTCCAGAGGTTCGCGAACGACGTGGCCAGGTTCGAACCGAAGCTGTTCCATTTTAAACAGTATTGCTGCTGCTGGGAGTCCATGCCCGGGCCGCCTCGGATACCTGCCCTGTAACAAAGATATACAAGTTCAAATTTTTTTGCCTAGTATAGAAAATTAAACGAACGAACTTAAAACTAAAGGTTTAGCTGAAATACAATTAATTCTACCAAACAATTTGGGATCAGAACAACCTAGCTTTCTAACAAAGATGAGTGAGTTTTGACTAATGCAGAGTATGAAACGAAAATTAAATCCTAAGCTGAATAACGTGATTAAATCAACCTAAAAATTTAGGATTACTGCTTTCTGAACAGGACGGACGGTAATTGTTCATAGATGTTTATATTTTTTATTAATATTATTTATCTAGGCGTTTGGCTGCGGCGCTATGGGTCGCGAATTGCATTTCCTCATGGAACAATTATTGATCTAATATGCATAACAGTTTCTGGTCTGAATTTTTTTTGATAAATAAAAGTTAATAAACGAGCTATGCTGCTAATTTACGCTGGTATTCTGTGAGAGCTTTGTCCTTTCTCGGTCCAGCCGAACCATTCGTGCTACAACCATAATATAGCAGCGCGACTCTAGCACATTTGAACCGTTACCGTTTCAGCTTATTAAATTCAACTGCTGAACATAGGCCTCCCTACAGATTGCCTCATAGGAGGGATACTTGTCATAGTTGCCACGCTTGGCAAGCGGGTTGGCAGTCTTTTTTAATTTTTAGTCGTTATTAGGAAGACGCTGCTGCGCACTTCCTGATTTATTCCCTTACGACATCCACGGTTTATAGTATAGTGGACATTCTTACACGACGCAGCAGAGATATAATATTTAAAAGGACGAAATGAAAGTTTTCTTTGCTTTGAAATGAAGTACAATTAAATTACTCAACGATTGGAACTTTGTACTTGGTAGTTTATAAGTTAACGAAAAACGAAATTTGTTTTAAAATTGGCCTCTTAAGAGCATTTAGGTTACTTCTTTAGTTGATCAAAATCGTCAACGGTTGGCACGAGATTTTAGTGCAAACTGTCAATGATTTTGAGGGTTTATATTTTTACTTTCCTAAATACAAATGTCTACCGTCCAAACTTGTTAGTTATTTTTATTTTATTAGTTTAAAATTCATGTATTGCCAATTTCATACAGTAAGATTTCAGCAAACTTAATTTTGCCATTGGGTGAACAACCGCCTCGTGACAGATGCGGGCCTCAAGCACCAGTGACCATGAATTTTTAATATCCATGACTGCTAGGCGCCGTTCCCACGTTACTGTTCTATTACGCGCCGTTTTTTTTTTCACTGTGATAAAAAATGCTTGTTAATACTACTTGTTTCAATATCGTACAATGTTAAGTTATATAAAATTATATCTACGATTTAGAAAACGTTTACAGCAATAGTGCAATCTTCCCGTTTCCGATTTGTTTGCATTATCAGACACTGCAGCTATATTATGGTTTTAGAACGAATGGGTCACCTCGACCGGTGTAGGACCACACTCAAAAAATACCAGCCTAAAGCTTCTGTGTTTTGAATGGTGGGTGTAGAGAACCGAAAACCGTTTTTACTGGAAATAAGGAATTCCGTCTTAATCCTCAGGGGTGACAACGCGTCTGTATTATGTTTCTTAAACAAGGGTAAACATAGACGTCTATGAGCCACAGCACCCATTTACCATCAGGTGGACAGTGAGCTATTTTGTTACCCTTATCCTATAAAAATACCCTGTTAATTTTACTGTTGGTAAGTACCCTTCTTTTTCACCTATTTCTTAATATACTCAAAGGCAGACTGGTAGAGAATATTAGTTACCTCAGTCATTAAGTTCGATTAGAACACTTATAAGTATATGAAGTTAAATAATTAAGTAAACCAAAATTGCAATTGTATTTTTGCACAAATGTTGGCAATGGCTAAGATTCGAACCGCAAATCCGTGACTTTATAGTCATTAACTAAGCGGCGACCTCACATAAAATTACGAAACTATATCTAGGCCGTAATTGTAACCTAGATAACTAAATATTACACGTATAGTTGAAATTGTTTCTAAGATAATAAATTAGAGAAAGATTATTACGCTCATAATCTTTCTTCTTCATCATCACCCACATATGCCTTAATCGTCACGCTTGATTCAGGCACTTCACTTACTAATTCCAACGAGGCATTATATCCAGTCTAAAAAGTTAGACACAAATACCAGAGAATGGTAATGGGAAGCAGTATTTGGAGTGTTGAAGTAGACTTCGTGGTCACTGGCCCTTCTGGGCAAGCGTGGTGATAAACAAGTAATGGAAGCCAGTTAACGCATTCTTGATAATGTTTTTTCCAGCAGTTTAGTATAATAGGATGTTAAGGTAAGGTAATCAACATAATTAGGTTAATTTTATTATACTGAGACCAACGAAAAAGAAAGACGGAGCGCTATGTCCATTTCAAGTGACGCAAAAACCATGCTCAATTTCTTGACGCGCACTAACGCACACATCTTTCTTCTTTCTTTCTTTCACTGCTGGACATTTGGACCTCAAGCCATTTTGTTGGTTGCAAATGATTTTAGATATATGTGTACGTGAGTATGTGTTCTTACAAAAGGTTCTGCATGGTGTTTGCTTGATTTTTGCGTCAATTTAAATGTACGCAGTGCTTCGTGTTTCTTTTCTTTCTTTTGTACTCTGAGTTTATATAATACAAATTATTAATTATTTATATTACATAATTAGATTATTATGTAAAAAAATATAACTTCAATATGTATAGCTATGTGAATCAATTAATTCGTAAGAAATTTATTAGTTCTTTTGCTGCCCTATATGAACGTCTGTGGCATCTAACTACATAAAATTATCGTAAAATAAAAATTATGTGTTTTTATAATGCGAGTTTATTATATATTATGAAAGTTATTATAAAAGTTTTACGTCATGCTCTGAGTTAAACAAGTAGATCAAGTGACTCAAGACCGCGCCAAAACATTTCTGAATAAAGATTAATCTATGAACAAGGTAAAAAACAGTTAAGATATTGAAAGTTGTTTAATATTAGTTAAATTTAAATATAAAAAATGAATTTCATTTAATTTTAAATTGTGTGGCACGTAAAAACATACGATAACAACGAAACGAAAGGCTTACGAGTTTCGTTTAAAATTTCCCCAATTTAACTAACTCGAAGGTAGCTCGGCTCGGAAAATGTCAGAGAACAAAGCTGCAGGGTCGATACCGTATCGATTTGATTCCCAAGCGCTCCGTTACAGCCTAACTGTACATTTGCATGCGTGCACGTATATCTCGACTGGTCTTCGATGAGCCGGCGTGTCTCTATTATTGTCCCTACGCGTTATATGGCGGATGAATCCGCGCGGGGAGGGAAGTAGATCAAATTGGGCTGGTCTATGTAGAATTTCGGCTGCGACCCGGTTCCGGAATGCAGCACACGCGCAGGCGTACTAGTTACGATGCGAGGAGGGGGGGACGGTTGCACCGAGTTGCGCAAACTGCTACAACGGTCACTAGGCAAAGTAGAGGCCCGAAGAAGCCTCTGTTGTACCGAGGTTATGCATATATTTGTTACACATAAACTTCACTAATTTTAACTTAAAATTTTATGCTGTAAGAAACATTAAATTATAACATTATATTCAAATAATATATTTTTAGTATAGTATAATAAGCTAACAGAATCCAGTTTTTAAAAATACAATTTTTTTATATCGTTTTTTCAAATAGAATATAATATAGCTATGAATATGAAAGAAGAAAGATTTTCTTATTCAAGAGACCTAAGCGTAGTTGCCACTAAGAAAGACTTGTTTTAATATACATAGTTTCAAACGAAGGCTGTAACCAAGTATGCAGTTACTAAGCTGTAATCAAGTGTTAGTATGTTAGTGTTGCAACTATGGAGATAGGAATAGCGTTCCAAGGTGCGAGATATCCGGTAATACGATCGCCAGTCCACCTACTAAGCGTGGCGATTCTAGCAAATTATCTGTATAGGATAGTGAACTGGCTATTGCTTACTGTGACAAGAAAGATTAATTCTAACTAGTACCGCAAACTTGCAAAAGCTGTTAGAAATTAATGAAAAATAACAGCCTATGTTTCACTTCTGGGCACAGACCCTACTACAAATCTAACCTACTATGAAATTATAAGGCGAGATCTCATAAGATACCACGGCTCATCATCATCATGATTACAGTCCACCACAAGTTCACTGTTGAACATAGGCTTCCCCCAAAGAATATCACAAAGCACTCTTCTGAGCCTGTATCCATCAACTTCCTAGTTCTCTTACTAAATCGTCACACCGTCTAATGGAAGGGTGCCCTGAACTTCGTCCAACCACACGAGGCTGCTACTCGGGAATATTACTTACCCATTGTATTTTCTCCCTTTAGTTACTGACCCGCTGCGCTTTGTCGGTTACTTAGGTTCTACTGCGGATATTTACAAAATGATATTCGATGACTCTTAAATTTAACCTTCCCTATCAAGATATAATAGATTATAATGTAAAGATACAAATGGCTAGGTTTATAGTCAAAAACTTTCAACACTTTCTACAAACTCGTAAGTAGTTGCCGCAGTACCATAAAAAAGAACAAAGTTAAAGTTCCTATCGCCCGCATCTCGCGTACAACGCAAGTTGTTTGCTTCCATCGCATTTCACAAGAAACAAATAGGCCGCTTGGCGACTTAATGACTACGCCTCGGAATATCAAATAAGCCATTCATCACTCGGATATTTCTACTGCACTGCAGTTTGTAATTCTGACTATATTTTAACGCTCTTTCCTTAAGTATCGTAGAATAATGTTTTTAGTAGTATTTAGAGTCCAAAATGTTGTAAGAGTCCTTAACTGGTCCTAGGCGTCAGTGACGTCAGAGGCGACTATGTGAAAAAATGTTAAGGCTTCCGATAGATGCGGTTATAACCGACGTCAAATATCCAGATCGACGATGGGCAGCAGAGTCAAAAGTGCGAGATGTTTGGTATTGTGATTATCAATCCACCTGCCAAGCGT